AATTGTAAGCTCATTAGAAATTTGGCTAAATAGCAGAATAAGAGAGTCACTAGTTTACAAAAAAGCAAAAGAAATAGTTAGCCAAACAGTTAAAGACCTTAGATATAAAAAAATAACAATGAGTCAAATTATATATATAAATAATTTTAAAGTTAGAATATCTTTTGTAGTTAACAAAAATGTCAGAAAAGATGATTGATAAGATCTACTAACCAATAATATATTTGATAAAACATAAGTGCAATATGATGAAAACAACAAATAACTACATAATTAAATACAAAAATCTAAAAAACTGTAAATTGCTAAGTTAAGAGATAGCAACAAAGCAAATAAGTAGTTTATTTGCAAGACTTAATAAAAAAGATATTTTAGATAATCTAACAAAGTTTGGAATAGCTCAAAGGTGTCAGAAAGCAGACTTAGTAAAAGATATTTAGAACTTTGAAAGAAGACCAAAAGAAATAAAATATTGAAAGCACAACTTAGCTTATTGGATAATAGTTAAAGCAAGAGAGATGAGAATAAATATCAGAACAGAAATCATATATGAAAAGTATATAGTTATGGAATAAGTATAAAGAACTTAGTCAGAGTTAAATCATGGACAACAAGTAGTAGCACAATATATGGTTAGAATTAGATATATTTGAACCAACTTATAGACATAATAAAAAAGAATCAGATCATATGAAGACAGCTTAAAAGTCTTCTAGAGCAGTCATATAAAGAGAAAAAAACCAAATGGTTTAGTGAAATAGAAGAAAATATATTAATAACATAGACAAGTAAAAAAATATATAACTAATACAAAATTAATGACTATAATACACAGGTACTAATAATTAACTAGACAAAGCTATTTGAAGACAAAAGAAAGAAAGAATAGATTGTACATGGACTAAAGCATAATTAGCAACTTAGTAAGATATCAAAGAAGAAAAAAAATGATCTTGGCCAAGCATTAGCTATTGCAAAAAGTAGAAGACAAGACATATACTAATATAAGTAAATACAAAAGGTACAAGAACAGAACAGAACAAATAACAGATAATTGTAAAAAATAAATAAGATGGAACAATAATATAAAGGCAATTCCAAAAACATTAGTAGAGAAAAGCAATAATAAGATTAATGCAATATTATAACAAATGCTAGAAACAAAATAATAAAAGAATAAAAAAAAGAAAAAAGAAGTCTAATTAAGCTAAAACAAGTAGAAAAACTAAAGATGGAATTAATCAAGAAACAGAAATTTAATAGTAAAAATATAAATTGTTTAATAGAAGTTTTAACAAAAAAAAAGATAAAAAACAAAGACAAATATATTCTTTATACAGATGAAGTATTATATAAAGAGAAAGAAAAAATAGTATAAAAAAGATGAATATCAGTTGGGTGCAGGTTAGTAATAGAAGAAACTAGCCAGAAGAAGAAATAACATTGGGACTCTAAGATTGGCCCTCAGCAACAACAGCAGAATTAGCAGCAATATGGCTAGCAATTCTAACCATATTAGAAGGAAAGTGTATAGAAATGCATACAAATAATCTTGCAGCATTAAGGCATATTAACAGAGCAATTTAAGAGGTAGGAGATTACAAAGTCCTAAAAAAGAAAAATATAATGTGAATAATAAATATTATAGGTTTACTCAAAAGCAAGATCAATAAAATAAAACTAGTTAAAGTTAAAAGTCACAGTAACAATAAGTGGAATAATAGAGTAGATTTATTTGCAAAAAAAAAAGCAATATGTAGAAGGATAATATCTACAGAGAAGATCAACTGTGACAAAATAAAGTACTACTTAGAATAAAAAAATAGAAAAGTTAATATATCAACAAAACTTCTTTGCAAAATAGTCATAAATGCCAGAATTGGAGCTAGTTGAAAAGAAACAAATCTAATTCAAATACTAGAGTCAGAAACTAAGAACACTTAATATAATTGGTCAAGCTTTTGAAAAGAAATAAATAGAACAAAAGGTGTATACTGTACAATAAGAAAACTTAGTACAAGAAGAATAATAGTGATTAAATGCATAATAGATAGCCTACTAATACTGAAAAAATTAAATAAAAGAAGATCAAAAATATATACAATAACTGACTGCTAAGTATGTCAAAAAGGTGAAAAGAAAACTCAAGCATACTTAGTAAGTTGCAGCAGACAAAGAAGTTTGTAGAAGAGGATTCAAAAGATAGTAATAGCAGTGGTATAGAATAGGCTTAAAAAAAATAAAAAAGTTAGAATCCTACCTCTAATACTATATGAAGCACTATTTGAAAAAACAAAAGTAGAAGAAATTACTAATAAAACAGCTTTAATAAAAAGACTAACAATAAATAAGTTTGGAAAAGGAATCAGTTAGATTTTAGTTAAACAGACAACACAAAGATGTATAGATATAGTGACAAGAACAATATAGAATACATTTTACAACTAAGTATAAAGAGTTCAGTATGGAAAAATACAAGAAGATTAATATAATAAGTAAAATAAAAAAAGTGCTCAAACTAAAAGAAGATTAGAGAAAAAACAAAAAAAAATAAGGTAACAAAGGAAGAAAAAAAAAAAAAAGTGAAAAAAGTAAACTGAATGAAGAAAAAAGTTTAAAAAATAGTTGATATACTTGTTATAAAAAAGAAAAAACCTTTCTGATATAGCTTTAAGTAGTTAAATGAGGAGTCTATCTTTAATTAAAATAATGCAATAGGTTGTACTTAGGTACCAATAGGATGGCTGAGTGATGATAGACTTGAGTATTAGAAAATTTTATGTAATTATAACTGTATATAGTTTCAAGAATCTTAATAAAGTACTAGCATAACTGTTTAAGATTAAAAAAAAAATTTACCTATTTAAATTAGTTTATATATATAAAATTAGTAACTTTATATAGTGTATCTATATAATCTTAACTATACAAAAAGATATAAACTGATACTAAAAAATACAAACTTAAGATAAATTTTTGTAATTATATAAATCTGTAAAACTGAAAAAACAGATGCTTATTTGAGAAGATCTAAATAGAAAGATAATACAACTTTTTGATAATACTATTATAAAGACTAGATCTAAAAAATAAATATTAATATAAAAAAATTAGACAAACAAAAACCTCTAAATAAGGAATACCACCAACTAAACTATCAGAATTTAGATTAAAAAAAGAATATTAAGCTAAACTCAACTTACTAAAAACAATTTACAATTCTATTGAACTATTGAAAGTTTAAATACAAAACAAAAATATACTAAAAGTACTAAAGAGATACTATAAAATTGGTACTAGGGTCTAGTTGAACTTTGCAAGATATAGACTTGTTAATAATCTATAAAGTTAATAGGTTTGTTAAAAAAAATGTATTCCGAATTGTACAATTAGATATGTGCTTTAAAGTAAATAATAGCTTAATAGTTTTATAGAAAAAAAACTAAATATTAAGTTAGATAGCACTTAGATGTATAAAAACCAGTGTACTATTTATTTAGTATGAATAGGAATTAGAATGTTTAATTAGATAAATCTTCTAGCAGATTACAGATATGATAACTAGTAGAATCACAGATAAACTACTTAAATAGATAACTAAAAGTTACATATTTGGCTAGTTATATATTTATTTTATACAAGTTATATATATATAATTAAAAATACAATAAAGGTGATAGATACCGTAAATATTAGCCTTAGCAAAGACAAAAAAAATTAAAAAAAACTTAATATTCTATATTTAAAATAATTATGCACTACTAATAATATTACTTTACTCAGGGTGTGGCGACCTAGTGAAGTGGATAGGTTGATGTGAATTGTAAAATTTCTGTGTAATAATATTTTTTTAAAATTAAAAAATAATTAATAACTTCAAATTTTGTCTATGAACCACCTTCGATACTCTAAAAAAAATTCTTGCAAAATTTTAATATAAGTTTTCTAGCCTAACGTTTACCCTATCATAACTCATATATCAGATATTAATAATTTAATGAAACGTAAAAGTGCAAAGTGAAATCCACTATTGTTAATTTTACAGTTTTTATTCTTTATATAATTATTAATTTTCGGATAAGTATTAAACTAATAAATTATTGGAAGCCATATCAATACAAAAAAAGCAGTAAGAATCGCCAAAATTTCCTTTCAAGGTAATTCTTTTATGTAATTGTAAATATATATGTAATCCATTACATTTGACCGACATCACTTATCGTGACAATTAAGCGTTTATAAAATGTCACGTTATATGATTCCGTACGTACCTTACTTGTGATAAAATTTAAGTGTTGACGTATTTTACAGTTCAATTAATTATAAATCTTAGAATTACGGACGTTAATTTGGTTAATTCAAAATTCGAGAAATAGTAAAGCAACATACAAAACATATATATATATTCATTTATATTAATTCAAATAATATAATATATCGCACCAGTGTAATTTTCATAGATATCCGATACAAGTATCGGTATACGTATTAAAATTTTAAAACTAGGTTAAATCCGTATACACGTGGATACATGTATCACATATATATCGCACATAAATAAATACGTAATCGGATGATGTGATCCGTATTCATATAAATGTACATACTCCGAAACTACGGATTTTCTTCTAAGTTATATAAGATTCATGTTAACATAATACGTAGTAATAGAAACTAATAATAAAATTTTGTTTTATTAAAAAAATTTTTTAATGGTCTAGGAGACATATATATATAAATCAACGTCTTCGAAACATTCTTTGTAAATAAAATAAAATAAAATAAAAATCGCAAAATAAAATAAAATGGAAGCTATTCCAAATGAACTCATGATTCAAATTTTAAGGCATGTCCTTAGAGTTACTAGGTAATTAGCTATTTTTAAAAAGTATATTTTAAACGAATTAATCATTTTAAAAGTATAGTTTAATTTTTTTTTCTTGATATCCTTAAAAGTTTTTTGAAATTCGATTTTTTTTTTTTTCTTACGAAGTTTCAAGGGACTGATAAAGCTTCGAAGAACTTGCAAGGAATGGAATAATCTAATTCCAGCGGCTTGTAAAGATGAAGTCTGTGAATTTTATAGGAAATGGAGATTTTGTCGAGACAAAGTCAGTCAATTTTATAATTCCTAAAAATATAGACGTATTATATATTTATAAAATATAACCTTCTAAAATATTTTCATTTTTCTTGTAAATAATTATTCTACCAACATTATTTCATTTTTTCATAATTTAATACTAAACCTCGAAGCAAGACCCACTATATGAAGATCTAATTCCTTGTAAAAGTTACGATTATTTCAAATTCAAATTTCGAGATGATACATATTTAGTTCCAAATGATAATGATATTACAAGATTCATATCAGAAACATATAGGAAACAAAAAATTATTGTTGATGGAGATGTTTGGTCATTGTTTACAAAATGGAATAACAAACCATCATCATATTGTTTACATGAAGAAGTTGTGAATTTAAAGAAGATTAAGTATCTTTTGTCGCCGGCTTGTGTTATTTTTGAAGACATAGATGGATTAAACAAAGGCAAGGAATATAAAAGATAATAAATGGTATTATATAGATGTGAATTTTTAGTGTCAGATTTATTGATTTTAGAGTGTATTAGGAAAATGGGCTTTTTTAATGTTGTATAGTATTTTACGCTATGTAATTTTTTTCAAAGTTGATTATATAAATTAATCAGTTAAAATATACGAGTCCAAAGTTATTTGGATAAATTAATAATAATAATTACACTTAACTAGTAAATAAGAACAATATACCGTTATTAAATATATTCATAAGTCACTTTATTTGATGTTATTATTAGAAATTTAAATGTTAAATATATGTGTATTTTAGAAAAAAGAAAGTAGGTAATTTCAATCTACCATACAAGTTCACGATTAATTTTTCACCTTTCATTCTATTCTTGCTTTTAAAAAGATAATATTAAAACATAAAAACCATTGAAAAATTCCTATAGAACAAAATTTACATGAATACAAATGTACAAGGTAAAAAAAAAAAAATTTAAAAATAAATAAAATAAAATACATATACATGCATATACATATATTATATATAACGTAAAGTATATCACAGATAAGCTAAAATACCTTCTCTAAAAACAGTTCTTACCCTCGCAAGTAAGAATTGTTTTCCAAATGGCTTTTGACTATTTATATTAAATTATTAAATATTTTCTACTCCCTTATTCAAATGTTTTCTCAAATCTTTCATACTTCCAAATTTAACGATTACTTCCAAAGCAACCTTTGACATCTATTAGTCAATTAAATATATACAAGGTGAATGAATGTATATAAAACAAAAAAAGCAAGTCATGATAGGTTGAGAAAAAAAAAACAATAATTGGGCAATATATTTCATCTTATTAATAATGACATGTTAAATGACAGTATTAAATACCACTAAGATTGTAACAAAAAAAACAAACACCAATATTTTTTTGTCTCTTTTCAACCTATGCACTGTAGGTGTAAAAAACATACCAAGCCAATAGCATCTTTGTTAACGTTATCCAACATGTCACATGCTTGATGATAACAAGGATCTAAAGGTACATTAGCAATTCCACCAAATTTTTGTTGTGATTCACTACTTTTTATTTCACTTGATCCAGTATAAAGACCACCTTTATCAAAAAGGAATCAAATTTATAATCACATTTTGCGTCATCTAAAACAAATGAGTTTGATTTCTCAAGAATAATAAAGACATACCTGATGGAATTCCCTTTTGAACGAAAGGTAAAAAGTCACTACCACCCAACATGCTAGAAATATCATAGGGTTCATTTAATTTTTTGAATTCATCTGCTAACATGTGTTGAATTTTTATTGAGCCATTTCTTGCGTCTGGTGGTGCATCCGAACCTTTTAGAATCTGTTTCAAAATGTATCACAAATAATTTAGTTATTAATAATACATAAACCTTAAACAAAAGACTAGACTAAATAAAAATAATTCTTACAAATGGTATATAATTCGGACTTCCTAACATATCAAAATTCAAATACATGGCAATATGTTTTTTATCTTTGCTTTTAACAAGCTTTCTAACAAAATGTCTTGATCCCCCCAGTCCAATCTCCTCAGCTCCCCACCAAGCAAATGCTAATCTATTCTTTGGTTTATACTGTTGTTTCTCTAATATCAACAGAATCTCCAGTAATGTTGCAGACCCAGAAGCATTATCAACCATACCAGGACCGGCAGGAACAGAATCCAAATGGGCACCTAAAATTATTGTATTTTCTTTATCACCATGATCGTTTAAATAGCACAAAATGTTAAATGTCTCGGTGACAAAAATTTTTGTGTAAGTAGTGATATTGACGGAGGATGAAATCTTGAGTATTCGGCCAAGTGAATTAGAGGCTGCAATAACGGGTATGCTCATTAAAGGATCTAATGATCAAAATTAAAAAAAGGTTTGAAAACAGGGTTGTTACAACTATATGTATGATGAAAAAGATTCATCCCGTTTCATCCGTTATTTATTTCATCGATTTTTAATCCCCTAACCGACGCTAACTCTAAATCGTGCAAACCTTAACTGCAAGGGAAATGAGTGTTCTGTACGGGCCGAATCGGACGGATATTTCAAAAATTCGAATCGGATCCAAGTCTTGGATTCGAAACCGTTTCAAATACATCCGGATTCAACCCGGATCAATCTCTTCCTCTTCAGTGGTAAACATTATGAGCCAATTGATCTTCGATTTCGAATTATCCCGGATAGACTTTGCTCATAATATAGGGTGGAAAATTACAGATGTTTTCATAAATTTGGAACAAATGAAGAAAATTTTCAAGACTGAATCGACAAGTTTCTATTTTTGGCTGTTATCGGTGACATATTGATTACAACTCCGAAACTTATTAGAAGAATTTTCAGTTGCCCAGAGTTATGAAAACAGCTGCAAAGATTTACGATCATTTAATTTGAATTGGGTATTGCTCGAACGGAACCCTATATAGGACCGTACCCACACGGATTAATGGATCCGGATCCGCACCGTGGATCTTTTGCAGAACACTAGGGGAAATGATCGTTGAGAACGGGATTCACCGGATAAAAAAGACAGATTACCTCCTTCTTTCCATTCAGCAATCCTTACTCGAACATATGAAAGTTTGGTTTGCTCTGGTGAATTATAGAAAACAACGGCAGACGCTTTATTCTATGAACCAATAAATTCTGACATTAGATAACACATTTAATAGTTAGGAAATAGTTGGAGAAAGGATTAAATACTTGTTCAGCTTTATACGCAACATCCCAAACACTAAAATTTCCAAATTGAATCAGAACAATATTTCCTTGAACATTCCATTCAGTCTTATTATCAAGGGGGTCTTGTATTTCAACAATTTTTTGAGAAACCAAGCTTGCTGCTTGACCACCATCTCGCATACCTATTTAAAAAAGAAAAAAGATGAGGAGAAAATAACTACCTTTATAAAATCGACACCGACATAAAAGCATGTCCGTAAATTTTAAATTTTGCATGAAATACTCACTCCAAAAATCGATACCACCTTGAAACACAACCATTTCATCAGTGCTAACAAACGAGACATTCAACTCTGCCTCCTTTTCTTTCTCCCAAATGGGTACTTTAAAATATTGTAATTTTACATCACAATTTGTCTTATTAATTAAATTACTAATAATATATTCAGCTGATGCATTATATCCATTTGTTATTGAACGAGAGTTATTTGATTTTTTTGCAATTTCATTTAATGCTTTCAAGTGGGAAAATATATTAGGAGTTAGTTCTGTAGGCCAAGGTTCAACTGGGTAAGCTTTATTTAAGAAATTTATTTATTTATTTATTTTGAAAAAATGATTAAAATTAGAAAAATGAAGATTAATAACCAAATCTTAATAAATAGGTGAGTTTAGCTTACGAGTATTATGCGGTACGAATATGACAAATAAGACAAACCCAACAATCAATGAGAGAAATGCGATGAGACCCAATGGAAACTTCACACGATGTCTCTCAATTCTATCAGGAGGATCTTTTTTTCAAACATATACATAATGAAAAACATGAATGAATATATAATATCATATTAACAAAAGATGAACTTAAATTACCAATAGCATCATTCCCAACACTGAGTAAAGGGGATTGTTCAGTAGCCATTTCTTGTAAAGCAAAGATCAAATAAGACAATAAAGAAGTTATTTTGTAATTAAGGTACGTACATGATTGAGTGTTACGGTGATCGTGAATTTAAGAACTCTGAAAATTGTATGAAGATCCGAAAATCCGGGACTTAACCCCGTGATAGCAAAACGTGGGGAAATAGGTTTTTTATTAGGCTTCTCGATTTTAAACACATGGTCAAAAGCCTTATTCCAAATTAATAAAGAAAAAGGATCAAGTGTTTTAGTAATGGTAACATGATTTTGTACAAATGTACATTACTGTAACACAACAATAGCGAATTAATACAAAGAATTTCGATATTACCATAATTAGTTAAATTTCATTTCACTCGACATAACTTTATTTTTCATGACAAACTTGAGACTTATATATCTTCCAGAAGCATTCATCTAACCTTAATAAATTGTCATCAAAATTCACCCATATTTGTTCTACTTTGCTCATCTTTAGTACTTACACACTTTATCTGAAGTATATTTAGTATGTTCAAACGAATATTCAAGCTATACGATTTGGTGATACCTTAAATAAAATTATAAATAATATTTATTACATAATAATATTATTGTTTATAAATTAATACATATCTGGAGTGAAGTGAAAGAATTCTGTTTTACGACATTTAAGCGACATAATCTCACGTGAATTAATCTCCTTTCGTGGATCACAAATCAATCCGCATAGATAATCTGAATTTGAACGAATCACATCATTACATAGTTTCACCAATCCTTATGTGGATTAAGCCACATGATCTAATCGACTAAGCCGGCTGGCTAAGATATCGGCTAAGCGATTGGCTAATGGCTTATTTACGGAATTTTTCCAAAATTATATAACTTTTAGAATTTACTACTTACAATCATGCAATTTTAGCTAGCCGATCATATTACGTATGCGATTTAATTTGGTGATTTAATTTGTGATGTAGATAAATAGCACATTTATATAATATACGTACGTATCAGAAATTATGAATTTATGAATTATTTTTGATTATCAAATAGATTTTTTTATTCAAACTAGAGATGAGCGCATACATATGTCACACAGTAAATTATCACGCAGACTACATAGCCTATTGGGGTGTCCAATGCACTATGTAAATCAAATCTAAGTAATGTCTATATGATACATTTATATGATCGGATTTTTTTATGGCTGTTTCACAAATTCCCCTTTTTTTATCATTGTACAAAAAAAAATAACCGTACAAAATTTTTTTTCTAATATATCGTACGTACTAGTTTTCGTTATTAAAATACATAGGCGTGAACTATAAAAGGAATTGTTGAATTTTAGAAATGACGAATGAAGAATCTAATTTATATGAAATATTGTAAGATAATTTTTTATTTTGAAGATTTTAGAAACCTTTGAAGTATTTCAGTTGCCGATTCTTTATTAATTGATTCATTTTCAACAATAGTTCTTTTTCATTTATTCTTTAAATGAATTCCTAAAAGTTTTTCTTGAGTAAGTGTAGTTTCAAAAGGTTTAGGTCCTGAGAGTTGTATTCTTGACTCTTGTAGGTCAATAGACATATTAGGATGTGTTTTGAGATCATATTTGTTGAACATACCCTCAAGGTGTTGCTGATGAATGATTATAGGTCAAATTTTGTGCTTAATAAAATCGAGTATTAATGGATAATTAGGTAATTCGGTATAAGTAGATTGTGAAAAGGCCAAAAATTGTTCTTGAAAATCGTTATCTCTTAATGTTTCAAATAATCCAAAAGATTCCTGTTTCTTATTTTTTATATCATTTACTAATTCATTTATGTATTTTTTTTGGATTTCTGTAAAATTTTCCAAAACAGAAGTATTTAGTATAACTTTAATGATTGCAATTGCAAAATCAGGGCCTTGAACTCCTCCAAGCTGGCATATAAAAAGAGGTAAATGTGTTTACGGATCCATCCACCGTTTAAATGCCTCTAATGCTTTTACCAATCCATGTTCAATTCTATTTATTAAATCATTAAACTCATCTGTAGATAAAGTTTCATGAGCTAATAACATTTCTTCTACAAAAACTTCATTAGGATGTTCAGCTGCTATTTGCAATTCATTAATCCATTGTTCGACTTTATCTAGCATTTCACTCGTTCTAAATCTGTTTGGAAGATTTGTAGTATTTGTATCCTTACTGATTAAAAAGAACATAACTTTTTCATAGAACCATTCACCAAAACTAGCCATTATTTAAATTTCGATATTTAATTTATCATTTTGTAAAAAACTATAGAATGTTTTTCATTTTTTTAAATAACTTTCAAGAATTTTGTTTGCTTGTTCTAGTTGGTTAATAAACCAACTAGAAAATTGTAATTGAATATCTTTTCGATCTAAATATTGTTTTGCTGTAGTTAATTGATATAGCCAATGGGTTGAGATAGGTTTTTGGTATTGTTTAAGATTATAATTAAGTAGTGCTTTATATAATTTGCTAATTTTTTTTGTTTTCATATTTAACGGATTGTCCTTATCTAATTTGTTATATCTACAATGAAGATAATAAGCCAAGTTAAGAACATTAGACAGATGCGGCTTTAAACAAATTCCTGTAAGTGAATTAATTTTTCCAAATGCTACATCATTAAAATGTACTGAAGCTATATGTAATGCATATAAACCGCAAGGAATCCAAGCTGCTTTTGCCGAATATTGCTGATTAAATTTAATAACAGCACCAGCTGTTGATCCTGACATATAAGCTGTATTATCGGTAAGCCAATATTGACACTGTGCTGGATTTAATAAATTTTTACTAATAGCTTCTCCAACGCTTAAGGATACTGTAGATGCTAAACAATGATCCAAATCTTTCATATTAAGGATAGTAAGCATAGGTTCTTGTTTGTTTTCATTCCAATAAGCTATATATACTAAAAATATTTTTTTTTCTCCTCTAGTACTTTTGTCTGCTAAAATTCTGTATGAGCTAAATCGATTTAAAAGTTAAGGTATATTGTCTTGTATAGAAATTTCTGCTACTTCTTTCATCCATCGTAATAAAGTACTTGGAGATAAGCATGATTTAGAAGGCTGACCAGTAAGAAATGTTATGATTTCTTTTGTACATTGTACTGTTGATGATATTGAAATTTGACTGATAGTACTTAATATTGTAGCCATAGAAACAAATTCGGGTGTATATTCACGATTATTTTGTTTGATTTTTTTAACTATAGCTTTTTCAATATTTTTATCTGATATCTTTCTTTTTTTTCGATTAGATGATCTAATTTTTGAAATATATTTACTTTTAGATCATTTAAAATGGCTAAGTTTAATCATCAATGATTTTGTTTTATGAGTCAATCTATTTATTTTTTTTTTTAATTTTGAATTTTCAGTTTTTAATAACTTAACTTCTTCTTGAAAATTGTAACTAGATTTTTCATGACTCGCGAATAACAACTCGGCAGTTTTTTCTTGTAAATATGCCGATAAAATCTTTCCTTTATTTGGTCCATCTTTATATGTCATATTATTAAATAACTGAGAGCAAGCTATTAATTCCTTTTCTGATAAATAATTAAATTTTGTTACTAGGTCACTTTTTATTTTTTCTGTTTTTGAGATAGCCAATTGCGAAGTTGATGTTTGATTAACTAAATTTTCTAAATTTTCAATTGATTGTTCAATTTCTAATAGGTCAATTGTCGAAGTATTTTCCAATGTAATTAATTGAAGATTTTTATGTCGACGAATGTAAAAATCGCATGTTGAATTTTTAATTTCTAATATATTGGAATTATTTTTATAGGATTTTAACTTTTTTGCATGGCGAGCATTTTTATTACTTTTATGAGTTTTAGATAGGTGAGGCATTTTAATTTTTTCTTTAAAAAAAACAATTTTATCATTATATTTATAAAAAAAATTTAAGGGTGCTTTCAAGCAAAAAGTCAGTTCTTCCTCTGAGCAGATATTGCGATAGATCATGTAGATAATTGTCTTCAATTATTTTTTTGCATATGCAATTGTCTTTTTGGTTCATGAAACAAATCATAAAATACTCATAAGTAACTTATAAGATGTGCTGATGCAATTGTTAGACAATAGATATCTGCTTAGAAAAATAACCGATTTTTTTGCTTAAAAGTGTTCTAAATACCGATTATAATAAACAATAAAGCTATTCGAATTAATTTAATAAAGGTTTTAGCAGCAGCTATAGCAAGTATACATAGTAATACACAACATATAACAACAAAAAAAAGAATGAAAAGAAAGAATTATAACTTAGTAGTAAATATAGAAGATACAATACAAGCAAAGGAATTAGATTTAGAGTTAGTAAAGGTAAAGGGACATAGTGATAATAGATGGAATAGCAGGGCAGATAGTATAGCAAAAAAA